CGCCACGCTGCGCTCCTCCCCGACGCAGGCGCACATTAAGGGAAGGTGCGAGCTCGTCGGTTACCTGCTGCCGCGAGGCTGCGCATGCGTAGGGCTGCTCGGGCGCGCGCCCAGCCCAGTGGAGGGATTATCGGTCGCCCTTAGGCGAAGGGGCAGGAGGTTGCTTCCCCTGCGCTGATGTCTTCTCCGCGTCCCCGGGCTTCGGCGAAACAGATCCAAGCAAGGAAGGGAGAGTTGGGCTGAGAGTCTCCTTGTTTATCCCCACTTATTAGCTACCAAGCCATGGCCTTTCTGCCCTCCCTTCCCCGACGGGCTGCCCGTCGCCATCACAATAACGTCTCAACTCCTCCTGCGCCTGCGCCCTTTTGTGACTCCAGCCCCAACGTATTGATAGACCCCGAAGGTCTTTCCCAAACGGTTCCATTCACTCCTTTTAGGAGAAAAACGCGGACAAAATAGTCTCAGCTTTTCCGGCTGGAGAGAGTCGATCCAAGATTGGCTCCCAAGCAGGGGGATTTGGGACAAAAGATGTCCCAGCCACTCAAACTCTCTGCTAGCTCACAGTATCCACTTTTTAAAAATATATATATTTTATTTATTTTTTACAGAGAGGAAGGGAGAGGGATAGAGAGTTAGAAACATCGATCAGCTGCCGCCTGCACGCCCCCTACTGGGGATGTGCCCGCAACCAAGGTACATGCCCTTGACCAGAATGGAACCTGGGACCCTCCAGTCCGCAGGCTGACACTCTGTCCACTGAGCCACACCGGTTAGGGCAGTATCCACTTTTTAGTGGTCCTAACGGCCCGTCCTAAAACGGGACACATTCTATATGTGCGATCTGTCATCCACACGGGAATGTGGGCTGTACGCAGGAGGAGACTGCTTGGGGGCTAGAGCATGCCGGGCCCAGTGTGGGCACTTAAAGTTGAAAGAGTGAGTGGATGGAGTTCATGCCTGCAAGTGCGGGGCGGTGTAGAATGATGATGAGGTTGGGGGCCTGGAGCCAGACATGCTTAGTTTTCAGTTTTGATTCCATCACTTGCTAGCTGTGACCCTGGCACAATGGCTGCTCTCTCTGAGCCTCGGTTTTCCTCCCAGAAATACAGATAATTGCTTCTTAGGTTACCTCAAGGACTTAAGGTGGCAATCCTCGTCTAATAGTTATTTTTCTGGCTATTACTTGGTGGCTTGTTGTAAGGCCGGGGGAAGAACCTGCTTGGCAGGTGGTGGGGTGCGTGGTTGAGAGAGAGATGGATGGGGCAAACCTAGTGCCATTGCTGCGAGACTGATGACGTCATCCCCCTGAAGGCAGCCTTTTCTCTGAAATGGAGACAAATAGTATCTATGTGGGGTCTTACAAGAATGTTTGCTTTGTGCTTTGTTAGCACAGGCTGGCAAGTGGTAGACCCCATTAGCTTTATTCATATAATTTCATTCTTTCAGTTTATATTTCTTCAGTATTTTTTTCTTTGTGTGTGTGTGTGTGTGTGTGTGTGTGTGTGCGCGCCCTTACCGGAGTCCACTGGCAACCTTTCGGTGCATGGGATGATACTCAATCCACGGAGCCACACAGGCCAGGGCCCTTTAGTATTTCTTGTTTCTTTTTTGAGGTCTGGGTAATTTTGTAACACCTGAAAATTTAATTTTTTTTATAGTATAGTGTTTACATATAGAGTGCTAAATCTTAAGTTATAGCTCGATTAAATTTTTATAGTTTTTTGAGATGAGTGCTTTGATATTTTTCATTTAGCCTCTTTTCTAATATATGCACTTAAGGCCATAATTTGCTTTGAGAACTTTTTTAAAAAAAGTATTGAGAGAGAGAGGAAGGGAGAGGGAGGGATAGAAATATCAATGAGATGCCCTGCCAGTATGGCTCAGTGGTTCAGCACTAACCCATGAACCATAAGGTCCCGGTTCAATTCACAGTCAGTGAATATGCCCGGGTTGCAGACTCAATCCCCAGTGTGAAGCACGCAGGAGGCAGCGAATCAATGATTTCTTCTCATCATTGATGTTTTTCTCTCTCTCTCCCTTCCTCTCTGAAATAAAAATATATGTAAAAAACAACAAAATTTCAATGAGAAACATCAAACTTGATCAGCTGTCTCCTACATTCCCCCCCCCCCCCCGCCGGGGATTGAGCCCCTAGCCTGAGCATGCGCCCTGAACAGATATTAAACCAGTGACCTCTTGGTGCATGGGTTGACTCGCAGCCACTGAGTCGCACAGGCTGGCCTTGAGAACCTCTTGAGCTACACTCAAATTTATGTCACATTCCCATTATCATTGTTTAAAATATTTACTAATTTGTTCTAGCTGGATAGAGCATCAGTGGATAGAGCATCAGCCTGCAGACTGAAGGGTCCCAGGTTCGATTCCAGTCAAGGGCACATCCCTGGGTTGTGGGCTCGATATTCAGTAGGGGGCGTGCAGGAGGCAGCCGACCAATGATTCTCTCTCATCATTGAAGTTTCTATCTCTCTCTCCTCCCTTCCTCTCTGAAATCAATAAAAATATATTTAAAAAAATAAAATATTTACTAATTTGACCTGTGCATAATTTTAGTGGTGTAATGCTTCATTTTCAAATATTCTATGACTGCCTAGTTATCTTATTGTTGGGACTTGCCATGGCCTGATTAGCTGAGGCTTGGGGGACAGATCCTTAAAAGGAGATCGTGCTTTTCGATGTAAGAACTTTATTTCCACATGGAGCTTGGGGTGGGGTCTGGTTGTGGGTACATGCAGGCGTTCCCATCCCCACACCTATAGCTGCTGAGACGGCCTGAGAATGTACAGGAAGTGCGTCTTGCGGGCAGGCGGCTTGAAGTGGGGGGCGGCCTGGGTCCCTTTCTGCAGGGCTTCCTCTCGGGTCCCCTCTAGGAGCCCGTCCCGGATGGCCTGCAGGCGGTGTTCCTTCTCGCTGATGGCGCGGTTGCCCTCCGGGGCACTCTGGTGAGACCTTCGCCGCGGTAGCTTCATAATCCAGAAGGCCACTCGGGGGTGGGGTTCTGGGTGGAAGCTGTCCATGGCCTTGGGGAGGGGCACCAGGGCCTCCTTCTCCTCTATCTTGGGTACCTGGGGAGGAGGGACAAGGAGATCGGCTCAAACCGCATGACAATCCCAGGACTCTCAGACCCACTGGCATATTTAACTCAGTTTGCCACCTACAGGCCGCTTTGGGAGTTAAAAACTCTCCTGGCTGTTTACAAAGCACTTGGGTTTACAAACACTTTTGGATTCAAAATACTTGGGAGGTTTATAGACCACTTTGGGGTTGAAAACACACTTTGGAGGTTTCAAAAGCCCTTTGGGGTTTAAAACGTCTGTTGGGATTACAGAACACTTTAGGATTAAACGTACTGTGAGGTTTGGACAGCAGTTTGAAATGTGCAAAGCACTTTGGTATTAAAAGCTCTTGGCGTTACTAAAGAATCGGGGCCATAATTGCAATGCGTATGGGGGTGTTGTTTTTTTATGTTATTAGCCAAGACTTTGACCGGAATGTCATGGTTGAGAGGGACATATGTAGACTCTGGTTGTTATCAGAAAAGCTTTAAGGAGTTAAGATTGACTTTGGAAGCTGATAAAAGCCCTATAAAAAAAAAAAAAACAGCCTGGTACCTTGCTCATTTTATTTATATGGTTCATGCCCCATCTTTCCAGATAAGGAATGAAGGTCGCTTTCCTGGGAGATGGCAAATAAAGAACCTCAAGACATTTTTGGGGACCTCAGGTATTGAGGAATTCACACAAACATGCCGGCAAAGACTGATGGGACTGTATGGCTTGGCTTCTTCACCCCGAGAGGCTAATGGAAGCTCAATCTGGAGATTCCTTATGAAATCCCAGCAAAGCAGGTTTCTAAAAGCCTATGGGATCAGTTACTATTCTTGTTGTGTTTATGCAAATAATCAGGCCAAATTGAAACTGGACTTAATACAGTAAATACATTGGTCTGAATTTGGTTCTTTGATAAAAATGAGGGTAATTTTAGGAAGAGAACTTGTGTTTCCATCAAATCCATAATATACTGTCATAGATATTAGACTCTAATTCAGTTACTTGTCTTCAAAGTTTTATTTTTCCGCCTGTAAACCTAACTGGATCCTGACTTTTTCTAGTTTTCTTAAATATCTGGCTACGAGCCTCCAAAACAATGTTTCACATTTCTCCCATCCTTTGACAAGGCAAACATCTGAAATCTAGGCCAGGCAGCCAGGTGTCCTTGCCTGAATGCTCCCTTTCAGCAGACAATTTGTTGTGATTCATGTCATTTTAGCTTTTGCCTCAATAATATTATGATTTATAATGCAATTTGTCCCTACCAGGTTACAAGTCCTACTTGCACTCTGGGAATATTGTCCCTTGCTGACTCTAGACACCATCAAAACCTCCTTCTGTGCCCAGGCCTCCTTGTCCCTGATAGAGAGCAAGGGCCACTTGGCTCTGAAAGAAAACTCCACCCCTCTTCAGCATGAAGCACCTGCAGAAGAGACCCTATTCCCCTTTCCCTTAAAGCAGTGGTTCTCAACCTGTGGGTCGCGACCCCTTTGGCGGTCGAAAGACCCTTTCACAGGGGTCCCCTAAGACCATCCTGCAGATCAGATATTTACATGACGATTCATCACAGTAGAAACATTAGAGTTATGAAGTAGCAACGAAAATAATTTTATGGTTGGGTCACAGCATGAGGAACTGTGTTTAAAGGGCCAGAAGGCTGAGAACCACTGCAAAGAATTCAGAGTCAAGAATCATTGAGGGGGAATGTAGTAGGCAGTTAGGTAGGTGTGTGCAAATAGGAATGATAAGCCAGGTACAGGTCACCAGGCAGAAAGCCTCGATGTGCCTAGCAATGGACAAAACTGGGGAAACGAATATTGCAGAGTGGGACCTCACCCCAAGGTGACGTCTCCTCCCTTGAATATTGCTGGTCATGTAGTTTGGACCCTCCCCTGACCTTTATTTCCCTGGCAGGTCACTAGTCATGTGGTGGACTCCCTTAGAGGAGGAACAAGGGGGCTGGAGAATGGCCTCATATGACTGCCATACAAGCCCTTGCGTGACCACTCCCTTAAGCATGAAGCCCTCAGGACAATGAGGTTCTGGCCAGCATCAAATAATCTTCAGAACAAAGCCTCAGGTCTGTTGGCCACAGAGATAGAGTTTGGGTCAAACTAGAGATAATGTCTAGGCCTCAGTTTCGTTTCAGCTCCAGGCCCAGAAAAACAGCTGCAATGCGTGGTCCTTGATTGAGTTCTGGTCCAAAGTCAAATCAGCTCTTACTGACAGCTTTGGGTCCAGTGGAGACATTTGAATATGGACTGATGTCTGTTTGGTCAAAGTGTGGGTTGTGGACTAGTGTCGTCAGCATCTTCTGGGAGCTTGTTAGACATGCAAATTAGTGGGACCCACCCCACCCACCTAGACCTACTGAATCGGTCTGCATTTTAGTAAGTTGAGGTCTGAGGCCGGCCAGCGTGGCTTAGTGGTTGAGCACCAACCTATGAACCAGGAGGTCAGGGCACATGCCTGGGTTGCAGGCTCAATCCCCATTGGGGGGGGGCGTGCAGGAGGCAACTGATCAACAATTCTCTCTCATCATTGCTGTTTCTCTCTCTTGCTCTCTCCCTCTTCCTTCCTCTCTGAAATCAATAAAAGTATATTTAAAAAAATAACTTAGTGGTCTAAGAAGCCCTGTAGGAGATTGTTATGGGTTGAATTGTGCCCCTCCCAATTTTATGTCGAAGTCCATACCCCCAGAACCTCAGAACGTGATCTTGTTTGAAAATAGAATTATTGAAGGTTTAGTCAGTTAGGATGAAGTCATTATGGCGGGCCCTAATCCAATATGGCTGGTGTTCTTATGCAAAGGGGTAACTTATACATAGAAATGCAAACAGGGAGAACGTCCTATGGAAATGAAGCAGAGATAGGGGTGATGCATCGACACACCACGGATTGCCAAAGACTGTCATCAAGCCACCAGAGGCAGGAGAGGGGCATGGAAGTGACTGTCCCTCACAGCCCTCAGAAGGAACCAGCCTTGGTCTTGGACACCTAGCCTCCAGAACCCTGAGACAACTGGTTTTTGTTATTTAAACCACCCAGTCCGTGGTACTTTATGACGGAAGCCGTCTCAAATTAATACAGAGACAATTTGACATCAACATTAAATACCTTGGGTGTGAAAGTGGTACTGTGGTCATGTGGAAGAATGCATTATTCTTCGATCTGCTGAAGGACTTAGGGGTAAAGTGCCATGATGTCAAAAATCTATTTTCTTGGCCCTAGCCAGTTTGGCTCAGTGGGTAGAGCGTCGGCCTGGGGACTGAAGGGTGCCGGGTTCGATTCCCGTCAAGGGCACATGACCGGGTTGAGGGCTCGAGCTGCAGTAGGGGGCATGCAGGAGGCAGCAGATCAAAGATTCTCTCTCATCATTGATGTTTGTATCTCTCTCTCCCTCTCCCTTCCTCTCTGAGATCAATAAAAATATGTTAAAAAATAATAATCCATTGTCTTATAGTTCCAAAATACAAAAAGTGAAAATAGAGTAAAAGTGGTAAAATGTTAACAAGTGGTGAATCTAGGCTATTGGTTCTCAACTAAAGTCTGGAGACATTTTTGGTCATCACAGTTGGCGGGGTGGGCGTGGTGCTTCAGTCTAGGTTGTAGAGGCCAGGTTGCTGCTAAGCATTTGACAGTGCACAGGATGGCCCCCTGCATGGATAGCTCCACCCCAAAGGATGCTGGTGCTAAGGCTGAGAAACCCTGCTCTATGCTAAAAGGAGTGCAGATAGAATCATTGCACTACTTCCCCCTAACTTTTCTGTAGACTTGAACAATTTCAAAATAAAAACCTCTGTGTGTGTAAGAGAGAACTGCATGGGTTTGCCAAGCACTTGGAGGTCCTTAAAACATTTTAGGATTAAAAAAAAAAAGTCCTTTGGGATTAGAATCACTCAAAGGTTCACAAAGGTGATAGACACAAAGCATTTCGGGTTTATAAAGAACTTTGGAATTAAAAAAAAAATCACATTTTGGCATTTACGAGGGACAGATTTACCACTTTGGGATACATTTAAAAAGTACGGCCAAAACCGGTTTGGCTCAGTGGATAGAACGTCAGCCTGCGGACTGAAAGGTCCTGGGTTCGATTCCGGTCAAGGGCATGTACCTGGGTTGCGGGCACATCCCCAGTAGGAGATGTGCAGGAGGCAGCTGATCGATGTTTCTCTCTCATTGATGTTTCTAACTCTCTATCCCTCTCCCTTCCTCTCTGTAAAAAATCAATAAAATATATTTTAAAAAAGTACGGAAAAGGTTTGCAGAGTGCTTTGCGATAAAACCACACTTTGAAGTTTGTGAGGGTGAAGCTTACCAGGCATCTGGAATGAAAAGCACTTCCGGTTTACAAAACCCTCTGGAGTTTACTAAGTGAGTGGGGATGTGCTCTGAGGTTGTATATATCTCATTACTGAGAGCTGGTTAGTCCCTTTCAGCCGATGACAAAACTTTTCGGGGCTGGGGGCCTCTCCTAACCTTCCAGTCACTCTCCACGCTCCCATCTCCTGCCTCAATGGATGCCACCACCTTCTCCGAGATCAGCACCTCTCCTGTCTTGTTGTCGGTCACCTGTGAGGGTGGGAGGAGAGAGAGAGAGAGAGAGAGAGAGAGAGCGAGCAAAACTGCTTTCCGCCTCCGCCCTCTGCCCAGCAGACACGACAGCATGAGGGATCCAAGGCAGCCCCCAGGAGGGACTTCCCGGCCTAGGCACCTTGTCGATCTGGTGGTGGCTGGAGAGAGTGCTGTTCCCCAGCTGGCGCTCCTGGTTCTCTTCTTGGTGGTAGTTCGTAGGGAGGCCCCGCAGGTCCAAGGGGGCGGAGAAGAAGCTGTCCATGCCCCGCAGCAGGTCATCCTGGGACCGGAGGAGGGACAGGCGAGCTGTTGGGCCTCAGGACGCCCCAGTACATCTGCAGCCCTGCCAGGATGCCCTCCAGGCCTCGCCATGTCCCTTTCACCCCCTTCCCTCTCTGTCTTCTGACCCTTAGGGGCTAACTAGTCACCTCTTGCCCCCATCCTTATTCTCTGCCCCATTATCTTCCTATCTTTGCCCCTCATGCCCTCCTGTCTCTGTTCTATCCCACCCTTCAGTCTCTTTTCTGTCTCCCTCCCTCTTTCTATTTCTCCATCTTCCTGTTGCTCTCTGTCCCTTTGACTCCCTCTCTTCCTTCTGCCTGGCCCTGACCTGTCTCCCATTGTTTCCCCCCCACCCCCTTCCACCTCTCAGTCTCCATCTATCCCTGTCCCTCTTCTCTGGGACCCCTTCTCCCCACCCCCTGCAATCACTCACTTTCAGGAAAAGCCGGGTGAAGCCTTGTAGCAGTCTCTGGAGGCCTAGGAAACCCGAGGAGCTTTCCTGGGCGTCGGCGGCGTCACGGATCGGGGCCTGCAGTGCAGGGGGGCACCAAGGCAGAGGGGAGCAGCAGCAGCAGGACCAGCGTGTGCCACATGG